GCTCTTATAGGTTGGAGGCCACCGCTAGTAGGTTGGAGGCCATCGCTCTTTAGGTTGGAGGCCACCGCTAGTAGGTTGGAGGCCATCGCTCTTAGGTTGCCGCTAGTAGGCTGGAGGCCATCGCTCTTTAGATTGGTGGCCATCGCTACAGTTATTGTTTGAACAATTCAGGCTTCGCTCCTTGCGCCGCTTTTGCTTTGGGCTTTGAGCCCCAATAACCAGTAACGGCAGCGTCCCTTGACTGAGGTTGCTTCTGGGGTGTAGGTCGGTAACTTATGTGGGGGATGCTTGCGCTTCCAATACCAACGGTGTCGTTGGCGTCGGCGCCCACATGTGGGCAAGACCGGAACAATTTCATAGTTGCACCTTCCCAAAAAAACAAAACCATGCAAATCGCCTGCTGTGTAGGAACTTGCCTGGGGGGGCAATTGGAAGGGACAAAAGAGTTGACGTTTTCATCCAACAGGTGCCACTGCAAGGTAAGAAGCGGTTGGCGGGCACAGATTCCAAGCCCAAGCTTGCTGACCGCTCCTATCCACTGTTTTGGACGTACGAGTAAGAATGCATCTCAGTGGCGTCGAAATGCAGTCATGAAAAATGGTCACCGCATTGGAATTGCACCAACTGTCAATGAAATGAAGGTGTTCAAAGACCTACTGAAGGTGTGATGAAGCATCTGAAGGTGTTCTCTCTCCCCCCCCAAAAAAGGCCTTCGGTTCCGGCACATGAAACGACCAAGTCACGACTGCAACCTGGGCGGCGAGCGCGGAACCTCGTTGGTGTGGACTCGATTAAATGCCCTGTACCGGATCAACGTGCCCGAAAAAAATGACCAGAAGTATGTAGTACTAGTAGTAACAAGGACGCTACTAGGGGCTCCTGGCATACAGATGTTCGTGATGGTTCGGAATTTGGGGGTTCCCCAGATTCCCACCCACAAGGACAAAAATAGTAAAAACTACATTTTGTGAAGATCATTGGAAGTGGAGCCATAGGGCTGGAACTGGAGCCATAGAGCCATAGGGGCTCCTCATAACACCATACGGTAAGCATGGACGGTAAGGGGAACGATGCTTAACGAATTTTGGCCAAAGTCTTCGGCTTGGTTTTGCAGCTTTTTTTCGTTGTGAGAGATGAAGGGGTGATCATGGATTGACTGCCTACGATTCCCAATTATGGGTTCACTTACATCGTTTAGCAGGTAATTCTTCGATCTTGAAAAAGACCCTCTCGGAGCATCTGAAGTTTGGTGAAAAAATTCTAGCAATGGCCTCCAACCTAATAGCGATGACCTCCAACCTAGTACAGCGATCGCCTCCTAATAGCCGAGGTTTGGTGGAGCTTCCAAAAGTTTGATGCAATTCCTCATCTTGGCGAACCGTACTGGGCGGCGCCCAGTGCTCCCGGGTGTAGCTGAGCGTGGGATCACGGACCGGACCATCTACCGGTCGGCTGACCGCAGCAACGTGGAAGATTTGGATCAATTCCTGGACTTGGGAAACCTGGAGGCAAACCCTACTAGGTTGGAGCCCATCCCGACTATAGGTTGGAAGCCATCGCTACTAAGTTGGAGGCCATCGGTACTAGGCAAACCCGGATGTGACCATGCAAAACTAGTCTCCAAGACCGGTAGATGTTTTTTAGCTGTTGGAAGGCAGAATGGAAATGTGTAGAACAGTTAAGTGAAGGACAAGGGTAGATAGACTATCAACTCATTCCAGTGAGTGTTTAGGAACCACTGGTGATCCTTTTGGCCTTTTGTGGTTGCCGGGATGATTTTGCCAGGCTTTTCCAAATCCTTTCAAAAAGTATCGAAGCGCATCCGAGGAAGCCTCACTTTGGACCCCGGATTGCCGGCGCGAGGGTTTCGAGAACATATCAAAGAGAAAGGGAAGATACTGGATGCAGTGGTCTTCATTGTCTTGAACCCTTTTCAGAGGCCACGTTTCAGCCACTTGAATCGAAAGAGTGTGGTTCAGGAGTGCATGGGGATGTGGATCCGTTGCCGCCGGAAGCCGCTGCATTGTGGCGAATACTTCATGTGGATCTCAGACATGCGTGGCCTGGATTCTTGGGAGTTGGCGCCAGGGGGCAAGGTCTGGTGCGTACATAACAACTTCCTACGATGGAATCAGACTTTAGGGGATTGGTTCGACGCCTTCTTCCAGGACGCCCCCAATGTGGCCATCATCAACTGGGTCGGGGCCGTGAGTCCACCTTGCCGCAGTTCAAATCGCGTGTGTTCCGCACAGGAGGACTCGCAGGGTGAGGCAGGAAGCATTGAGTTTTATATGCAGCGCCTGCGTTTGAGCAACAGCATTTCGCAGCTCGCCGACCGGTTTTTGGCCAGTCATCCTGAGCTGAATGCAAGCAGTGCAGGCACAGGCTACAACTCCGTGCATTTACGGGCAGAGATGGTGCTGAACTACCGCTACTTAAGTCCAAAATGCAATGATTCCGGAGTGTACACCTGGTTTGCAGACTTGAAGAGGAATATCAGCACCTGGAACCCAGGATGGTTTGAGGTGATTTCTACTACTTTGAATCCTCCATTGTCCGAGGTTACATTTGAAGTGAGACGTCGGAAATCTCAGGATCCGTAACGAGGCCCTTCTGAAACGTTTGCAGAGAATACATGATACCACTAGACTGGAAAGAACAATCACCCGCAATCGCTACTAGGTTGGTGGCCATCGCTACTGGGGTGGAGGCCACCGCTACTAGGTTGGAGGCCATGGCTGGTAGGTTGGAGGCCATCACTTCTAGGTTGGAGGCTGTCGCTAGTAGACTGGAAAGAACAATCACACGTGTCCGATCCCTTCAAGTCAGTTGGTATTGTATCCACGGTTGTTTTTTTCTGATCCAGGGTTGGGAAATCGGATCTAGTAATTGTAGCCCCTTCCTTTCTTCTTAACAATATTTGTTCCTTTTTCCTTTAGATCTTTTATTGTGTTCGATCTCAAGAACTAACTCTAGGCCTCTCAAACTCTAGACCTTAAGACCTTTAGGTAGAATTCTTTGATCTCCAGTTCTTTAGACTCCAAACCTCTCTGGATATCGACCTCTAGATGCAGGCTCTGGAGACAACTTACTAGACCTCACCTCTAGATCCCTAGCCCGCTTTTTTGGGTCTCAAGACCCGGATCTCAACATCTCTAACCTCTAGATCTCCACCTCAAGACCTCTAGACGAGCGAGGTACCTAAAGCCATCTGCCTCTCTAGGCCCCCACACCTACACATGGATCTACACCTCTAGAATTCTAGATCAGTGACCTCAAGACCTCCAGACGCGTCATATCCCTGGATCTCAAAGGGGCTCTAGGTCTTCAGATCTCCATTTTGTTGTTAACTGTTTTCTTTATGTAACTTTTAATTGTGCTTTTTAGTTAGACCTTTCAGTTTGGGTTTCACCATAGCGTGTTTGTTTTTTGCTTTCTATTTTTCTTTAGACCATTTTTCTTTGTGACTTGAGACATTTCATTGTCTTTGTTTGTCATCTTTCGTCGGGTATTTTCCTGCTTTCTGTCTTCTTTACACGTGTTTTTGTTAGACATGTTATTCGTTTTGCTTTTTGTTCTTTAGATATGCGTGTTTATCTTTAAAGCTTTTTTAACGACTTTTGGTACTGTTAGACAATTTTTATGTGTCCCTTTTTCCTGCGCGTGTTCATTTAGTTTTTCTTCATTTGTTCGTCAAGCAATGGCCTCCAACCTAGTAGCGATGGCCTCCAACCTAATCGCGCGCTTAATTGATTTGTTCTTTTTTATGTTTCCCTTAGACCTTTAGCAAAAAACGACACGCTTCTTAAGGAATGGAACCTGGTTCCGCGCCAGAGATCTCAAGCCTGGCGGCTCGCGCACGCTGGCCCGCTACGATCCAGAAATCTACCAACGCCTGGTCAAGCTTGAACTTGACCTTTGGCGAGATGCACCCGCCACTTTTGTCACTTGGGAGTGGGAACTTGTTGAGGTGGCGCCACGTGGGCAAAAGAGGTTGTTGAAAGGGACCCCTCTCTAACAAGCTTTTCAAGCGATGTGCCATGCGCTTTGAAGTCACTGGGGGGAACGTTTCTGTGGAAGACCGCACAAATGAAGAAGTGTACCAAGTTCGGTTTTTGCTGGGTCAAGGCCTTTTGGCTATGATCAAGTGTAGCATTCACTAGCTGGGTCACGACCTTTTGGCTAGGATCAAGTGTAGCACGAAACAGCCAGGTTACGACCTTTTGGCTATGATCAAGTGCATCTGAAGCCCTTTTTGACAGCTGAAAAGAGCCGTGGAGCTCGCGTAGGTTATGAGCCCAAGCTGTTTTCGAGGGTTGTAAGACCACCTCGGCTGGATCGTGTGGATCCACGAGTTGTTGGCCGCCATGGCTCGAGCAGCTGGCGGCGCTGGGGTGGACTCTCCAGAGGCGACATCCTCGATGGAGAGTGCCAAGGAGGACCAAGGGGCGCTGGCGATCCAGGACATCGCGGCGAGCGAGGGCGCGCTGGTGGTGGCGTCGCAGGCGCTACTACCCCATGGACCTCCCACTACCTACGGGCCTCAACGAAGGGAGGATGGCCGTTCGAAGAAGGACGGAAAGGGACATGGGACCACGAGACAAGTGGAAGTCAACCCCTTTTGGAGCCAGACGGTCAAGGACGAAGCCATGCTACGTGCCATGCGGCCTGCAGGGCTCCCGGAGGCATCTACATCAACGACGAGACCTACGGCATCCGGTGGCGAAGAGATGGGGGTGGACATCCAAGAGGTCCTGAGGGCAGTCATGTCTCAGAATTCGATGCTCAAGAGGGAGTTGGCGGAGTTGAAGAAAAAGGTTGATGACTCCACCAAGGAGAAGGACCGGGATTTCAAGGAGGCGAGTCGACCAAAGCCTCCAACATCGACACCTCCACCGAGTCCACCATCGGGACCGCCGCCTGATACTCCAGAGGCTGAGAAGGGGACAGGCACGATCTCCCTCGGAGCGATTCCAGAGTTTCCAGGTAATGAACGAAGAGGAGAACCTGGACGTGGAGCTCCACCTGTACCGGAATCTTGGTTGGGAGCACTTCATGCTGGACACCCAGGAGGGCAGGGGCAGAGCCGTGAAGGGAAAGAAGTGGCAGGGACTCCATATCCCGGAACCCAAGGAGGGCTAGGACCTGGACGTGGAGGACTACCTGACTGTGCAGTACGAAATGGAGACCTGAGCAAGGGCTCACCTCTTGAACAAGCTGCCCAATCCGTCCTGAGGCAGTTGGGCACTGGTGCCACGGATGGAGGCTGGGGTGGTCGGTTGAGCTGCCGCCACTCCAGGATCTACGAGAAGGAGAGTTGGGATCACTGGTCCTGGGGGATTGGATCCAGCTCATTTCCCCGACAATGAGGGACCTCAGCGCGACTTCATGGAGGTGGTGGGAAGAGGTGATGCGAGGGGCTATGATGGCCTATCGTGAATGGCTTCGAGCAGAGCCGGTTCAGAGGCTTCACATCAAGGCGGAAATGCCTCGGGAGTGCAACACCGTGTGGAGCAGGTTGGAGCAAAGAGGACAGTTGATGCTGCTGAACGCAGTGCCAGCGTCAATCCGATCAGAGATGCTGGCAAACAGGGCTTCCAACTCGGTGGACGTTCTCTATGCCTTGTTTCGGAGGTACCAGCCAGGAGGGCTGGCGGAGAGATCTCGACTTCTCCGACAGCTGGTCGAGCCCAAGACACCGCAGACGATGAACGAGGTGGTGGAGATGCTTCGCGGCTGGAGGAGGAGCTTGAGGAGAGCGCAAGAGCTGGAGATTGCCACTCCGGACGCGACCCTGTTGCTTGGGGCGTTGGACAAGATGTCGGAGCTGGTGGGGGAGGACCTCCAATCAAGTGGCCTTCAGGATGTCATCCACCAGAGCGACCCTGGGAGTTGACGTGACTCCAACTCTTGAGACGGTCCTCAGCTTCTCGGACATGCTGACGGCGGAGGCGGAATCACTGGCCATCAGCGATGTTCAACCACCCCCAGAGGTCAAGCCGTCGAACCATGTCACCAAGGTCAAGGCGATGACCACAGTGGCGGAGGAGAAGGCGGAGAACGGGGTCGTGAAGGCCAGAGCTGAGGGACGGGGTGAGGAGAAGCCGTGTCGGTTCTGGGGCACCGAGGAAGGGTGCCGGAAGGGACAAGACTGCCGCTTCAAGCATGATTGGGGCGGGCTGGAAAAGAAGGGGAGGTGCTTCGGATGCTCGGGAACTGGTCACTCGAAGAAGGACTGCCCGACCGTGAAGCCAAAGGTGAAGGAGTCACCAGAGAAGCAGGCTGTGAAAGCCGTCAAGGAGAAGGTCACGACCATCCAGGCGAAGGGGGACATGAGTGATGGTGGGCCCAAGACTGGGGGGAGTGAGCCGATGGAGAACGGCCAGTCCAGTGAAGGCGACAAGGGAGCGGGAACTTCCGGGGAGATGAAGGAACTGTTGAATGAAGCCACCACGTTATTGAAGAGTTTGAGGCCAAGTTCATCGATGAAGGCCATCCGATTGAGCAGCTTAGAGGTGCGAGAAGGAGGAAGGGCGCTTCTAGATGGAGGAGCCACCCACTGCTTGAGGAGAACCTCTTCGGAAGAGGAATGGGCAAGCGCCCAAGAGGTCAGTGTAGAGCTGGCCGCAGGATCAGCAGTCCTGAGGCTTCTCCCGTGGACGAGAACCTTGCTGACCAAGGAGGATGCCCTACGATCGACGAGGCGCTGAGTATGGTCCGGGAGAGAGCCCGGTTGGCCCATCTGGCTGGTGAGGACATCGGCTTGGAAGTGGACTTCGAGAAGGCGAGGCATCTATACGGAGTTGAAGAACCTCTTTCCGGAAGTGCCACACCACATCCTGGAGAGGCTGCTGCCGAAGAAAGGGTGGACGGGCGAAGGGCTTCCCTGGAATCGGCATGAGAGAAGGCGGGTTCGAAAGGCCAAGGAGGTCATCATCCACCTCTTCAGCGGAGACTCTCGAAAGTTCTGGCAGAAGGAGCTTGAGGCTGAGAACAGGGTGGTCCTGTGCATCGACACGGTGATTGACCAGGGACTCAACCTTGTGAGGGATGACATCTACTCCTTCCTGCTCGACCTGGCTGACAGCAGCACAGTGTGCACCTTACTTGGAGGCCCTCCATGCCGGACGATGAGCAGGTTGCGGTAGCCGGGTCCCCCTCCGCTCAGGGAGAGAGAAGGGCCCTATCGGTTCGGACTGCCGCGACTGGATCGATATCTTCGAAAACAGGTGGAGGACGACACGGTGTTGTTCCTGCGCCAGCTATATCTTCACCATCGAGCCGCTCTAGCTCGAGGCCCGAAGCCAACGTTGTCAGTTCTGGAGCAGCCGGAGGACCCGGAAGAATATGTTGAGACGGATGAGGCAAGGGGCCAGACGTACCCTTCGTACTGGAGCTGGCCTGAATGGAAGGCATTCAGAGATCCATGGGGAATGACGGAGGTGAGCTTCGATCAGGGGCCCATGGGTCATGCCCGGCGGAAACCGACGAGGCTGGGCACCAACATTGCCAAGTTGACCGAGCTTCAGGACATCAGAGGCCCAGGAGTTGGTGGGAACACGGCACTGGCAGAGGACCTCACGGAGAGGATCAAGCAGAGCAAGGATTGGTCTACGTGGGCGCCTGGCTTGAAGATGGCCCTAGTGACCGCCATTCGGGAGACGCTGAAGTCCTCCGAGTTCCAGGTGAAGCGCATGGACATTGACGCCTGGAAGAGACATCTCCTCAACGGGCATCTGCCCTATAGCAGAGAATGCAAGTCCTGTGTCATCGCTGCATCACGCGGCAGGGCGCATAAGCGGATCCCACATGCTGAAGCTTATACGCTATCCATCGACACTGCGGGACCGTTCATGCTGGCAGATGATCAACTCGGGAACGTGCTGGTGGGAGTCTATTTGGTTCCGGTGACCAAGGGTGGCCAGTCGATCATCCCGATCCACGAGGAGGACGAGTTGCCTGGGGCTGAGGGAGATGGACCAGGACTGACGGTGGTCGATGGGGAGCGAGGAGGTTCTGACCGAGAAGAACCATGGCCGGGATTGGATGATGAGAAGGAGTGGGCATCGCTCGTTGAACCGGAGAGAGACTTCCAGGTCAAGCAGGTGACGCTCGCGGAGGTCATGGAGAATCGGGGAGCGTCGGCAGTCCTGGAGGCAGTGGGACGAATGGTGGCCAAGCTGAACTTCTTGGGGCTCCCTCTCAAGCGGCTCCACTCTGATCGTGCTGGCGAGTATCAAAGCAAGATGTTCGACAAGTGGATCCGAGATAGAGGGCTGTGTCGCACCTTTACAGATGGTGACAACTTCAAGGGCAACGGCCGAGCGGAGGGAGCGGTGGCACAGTTAAAACGTGGTGCTCGAACCCTTCTGGTGGCAGCAGGTCTTGATGAGGGCTATTGGTGTCACGCCACGAGACACTGGGCTGATACTCGACTTCGAAGTCAACTGGAGTCAATGGGGTGGAAGCGCCGGCAGCTGGCGACCTTTGGCCAGGTGGTCTGGGCCAAGAGGAAACTCTACAGCGATCGCCAAAAGTACCTGTCCACCACCAGGACTCAGGTGAGAGTGCTCTGTCCGGCAGTTACGATGTCGATGACTTCGCAGGGATACTTTGTGGAGGAGCTCGCCACTGGAAAGCTGTTCCACACAGCCGACATCATTCAGGTGGAGGACATGCCGGAAGGAGTGGCACTACCAGATCGAGAAGCGGGTGTGATCCATGAGGTGGATGACCGCGAGGAGATTCAGCAGCCACGGAAGAGGCCGGGGAGAACTCGAGGGAAGGTCAAACTCCTCCAGTTGGAGACGGAGATGGAAACCGTATAGATTGGGGGGAGCTGCAACATCGAGGCGCAAGGATGCTGTCTCGAGAGTTTCAGCGGCTGGAAGAGGACTCAGGGGAAGTCAGGAACGAAAGATTCCTGAAGGCTCTCACCGTGGAGGTCGAGGAGATCAGCCAGGAAGCAGTTCGGGCGAGCCTTCAGGAGGAGAAGAACATGGTCGCAGAGATCGAGGAAAAGTCAGAGGAGGCCCCAGAATTCCTACAGACACGGATGGTGGGCCTGTCGGAGGTCAGAAAGAACCTGGAAGAGTGGAAACCATCTATGCGAGTATGGAGCTCTGGTGGTAGAGTCCGAGGCAGTGGAGCCCATCAGCAGGGAGAAGCTGAGAGAGGAGGCACAGGACTCCGGAAAGACCTTCGACCTGCTCCCGGCAAAGGCGATCTTCAGCAGGAAGGCCGGATCGGGGAGGCACAAGTGGTGAGGGGTAGCCTGCGGGAACTACATGAAGCTTCGAAGCGATGAGAGCACCTTTGCATCCGGGGCAGGAGGTCCGGAGGTGAGGCTTCTCTTGAAGATTGCGGCCACGAAGGGCTGGAGCGCTTCGACGGTGGATGTGAAGACAGCTTTCTTGAACGCCCCGGTCGACAACGCTGCGGACCGAGGTGTGGTGATAGTTGAACCACCTCGTGTGTTCCGGGATGCACAGGTCCTCAACCATCCAGAAGAGCTGTGGTTGGTCCGAAAGGCGCTCTACGGGTTGACTACGTCGCCGAAGGACTGGTGTCTACACCGGGACAAGTGCATCCAAGAGTTCAACTGGAGAGGGACGACCGCCACCTACAAGGTTGAGAAGACAGCCCAGGACGATGTGTGGGGGATCTATGGTCTTCAAGATGGAGAAGGAGACTGGACATTGACCGGTCTGTGTGCCACCTACGTCGACGACATCATCATCACGGGAATCAGGGAGGTGATCGACGGCATGCACCAGAAGATCCGGGAGAGTTGGAAGATCGGTGAGCCATCCTGGATCGAGGATGGAGGGGACCCGGTGAGGTTCTTGGGCATGGAGATTGAGAAGAAGGGCCAGGACTTCGCCATGCGGGCCTACTTGGAGAACCTGTTCATGGAGTATGACGAGCAGGGGAAGGAATTCTTGGGTCAGGTCAAGACGCGGGAGGAAGAAGAGAACCCTCAGTTGGCTGAGGTGACCCAAGCCCTGGCGAGCTGTTGTGGGTGGCTGGGAGGACGAGACCAGATGTCTGCCTAGCGGTGAGCATCATGTGCCAGTGGGCCACGAAGAGACCAAGAGCAGTGATGGCCATCGGAAAGCAGGTGAGGGCCTATCTTCGGCAGACCAGGGGAGAGGCATTGAACATCTCCGGCATCGTCCAGGATGAAGAGAAGTTGGAGAAGGGGTTGAACCGGGTGGAAGTGTACTCGGATGCCTCGTATGCCTCATCAGAGCCTGACGGGCATTGTGGTGTGCGTTGGAGGCACTCCGATCGCCTGGCATACTACGCGCCAGGCATTCATCACCCTGTCAACTGCGGAGGCCGAGCTCATGTCACTGCTGGAAAGCCTGATCTGTGGCAGATCGGCAGGGTCGCTGGTAGAGGCGGTTCTTGGGGAGAAGGCCCAGGTGAGACTGCATTCCGACTCGACTGCGGCGATCGCCAAGCGGGGACTACATCGTCGTGGAGAACGAGGCACTTGAGGATCAGAGCGGCAGGACTAACAGAGGCATTGAGGATGAGGGAGGTGTCTCTGGAGCACGTGGCTGGGACGGAGTTGGTTGCTGATGGCATGACGAAGCAGCTCACAGGGCAACCACTCCTGAACTTCAAGAAGGCATTGAAGCTGAGAGCGATGGATGAGGGGGCGAAAAACATCGAGATCAAGAAAATGGACCTGGGTGGAGGGACGCCGGACCCAAGATTCTTGAAGGTGCTCGGGCTGATGATAGTGGTAGCGAGTTTGGTGACCAGAGCCGAAGCATCCGAGACGGCCAAGGAGGAGGGCAGTGGTGAATGGTGGATCCTGGTGTTGCTGACAGCAGCTATCGCAATCCTGGGGGACATCATCCTTCGAGTGGGATCAGCAGGAGTGCAGCGATGGTTCAAACCCAAGGACGAGTTGAAGGTGAAGCTCCTTTCTCCAGAGGCCATCCTACCTTCCCGAGGCTCGGAACATGCTGCAGGACTGGATCTGTACTCCACCATCGAAACCATGGTGCAGCCTGGGGACAGTGTGCTGATCAAGACAGGCATAGCACTGGAACTTCCGAGAGGGAGCTATGGAAGGGTGGCGCCGCGATCGTCGCTGGCAATCCGAGGGATTGAAACAGGGGCTGGAGTGATAGATCGAGACTTTCGAGGAGAGGTCAAAGTGCTCCTATACGAAATCACTCGGATGTGGACCTCCGGATCTACAAGGGTGATCGAGTGGCGCAGTTGGTGGTCGAGAAGATCCTGGAGGTGGATGTGAACTGTGTTGAGGAGTTGACCTCAACGACCAGAGGCACTCGAGGATTTGGATACTCAGCTCACGAAGACCTGTACCCGTGGGCAGAGCCTGACGACCCGACCTATACCAGCACCAAGAACTCGGGACCACTCACCCGGTGGATCGCATTTCAGTTCGGGCGATGAGGATGAACGCCAGTCCACGGCAGGTACCGATGGCATCAACTGGGCAGACACTGGCAGTCGAGGAAGCGGAGACCCGTGAGGGACTACTTCCAAACCGGCCTGAACCAGGAGGACACCATCAAGTACATGCTCCAGGGTGGCATCGAAGCACTCAGACGGAGACCGCTCGAGAGGGGGAACTATGTCATGATCATCAAGGACCCGCTGATGAACTTCGGGTACCCGATTCTCAGCTATGGTGTCGAGGGGCTTATGATGCCGAGGCGGAGGGAAGGAGACACGCCAATCTGGGGTTGAACTTGAGCGCTTGGGATCGCTATATGATCCAACAAGGTCCACGGCGAAAGCATGGGGGCACCTGGGTGATGCTGGACTCGGAGGGGGTGCACTTTGCGGCGCATGATCCAGGAGATGGCCTATAGGACCCCCGAAGCAGGAAGACTCAGGGGCTCGTGGAAGTGGAGGAGATGGAGATCAACCTCAGGAGGGTGGGACCCCACCGCAGGCACCGCCTCAAGGGCGACTACCAAGGGTAGAACCACTACGGCTGGTCACCACGGTCGATGAGGGGGTGGTCCTTGGGAAGTGGATCCACGAGGAAGAGATGTGGGACTATCTGAGGACTCCTGGCTTCCAGAAGGGGTTCATCAATGACGCGGTCCTCAAGGTGATTTCTACGCCGCCGCCGAGAACTGCGGCAAAGGATTCGTGGGAGTACTTGATCGAACGGAAAGAAGATTGGCATCCGGGTGCACCACCAGACCCGGAAGAAGCTGTATGACTTTGAGGCGGAGATCCTCCTGGAAGAAGAGTGGAGTCGGTGGAGGATGACGGTGGCATGGCCGCTGATCGGGAAGCGAAAGACCATTTTGGTCGACGAGAGGAACGGCAGGAGAGGGCTCCACATGGACACGTGGTGGGGGTATACCCTCTTCCGCTCGAAGTGAGATGGGGCTTGAGCTGAGGCCTGAAACGAGGCCAGGTTTTGGACTGGGTGCGGCTCCGAATAGGCGCTAGCACCTAGGGGGAGTGTGGAAGACCGCACAAATGAAGAAGTGTACCAAGTTCGGTTTTTGCTGGGCCAAGGCCTTTTGGCTATGATCAAGTGTAGCATTCACTAGCTGGGTCACGACCTTTTGGCTAGGATCAAGTGTAGCACGAAACAGCCAGGTTACGACCTTTTGGCTATGATCAAGTGCATCTGAAGCCCTTTTTGACAGCTGAAAAGAGCCGTGGAGCTCGCGTAGTTTCAACCCCCTGCACGCGTAAAGCCCGGAAACATTTTCTTTTTGTACCACTAGCGCGCTTGATAGGGCCATAGGGAATTGCCGAAGTCGACTGACGGCTTAGAACTTCGAGACTCTGACTCTCATCCACTTTGCGATTCCTCGGAAAATGGTATGGTTCGGACCACGATTCATGCTCCTTTACAAAGCCATTTTCCGCTACGGGGGTGGCGCAGCGCTCCGCTTCCATTGTTGCTTGATGATGTATCTTTTTTTTTTTCGCATGTTTCCACTGTCATGAGCATTCCAGGTCGAGAATGACTGTCGATCTCTGCGGGGAGTGAAGTGCTTTCTACTGGATGTGGCACTTCTGTCACGAGGACAACAACTTGTCCTTTGGGGTTCCAGTGGAGGTGTAGACTTGCTCTGTCGGATTGAACGCAAGCGGTTGGGGATGCCGAGAAAGACGACGTTTCGCAGCATGTTGACGCCAGAAGGTTGCTGAAACAAAGGTCGGTGTCCAATCCCAATGGCTTTGGGCTTCGACAAAAAAGTGTAAAACATATTATTATATTTACTAAAATTGATGCACATTAATTCAATAATATAAACTTAATATATAATGAAATAGATTACCATTACTAAATAAATAAAATTATTTGTTAAATATAATTTATCGAATTTAATATAGAAATATATAATGAAAAACACTATTTTATATATATATATATTTGTTTGAGTATATTTATTTTGTAATTCTCTATATTTTTGTGTGGGGTTTTAGTTTTGTTGGCTGTTATGTCGCTCGTATTCGCCTTTTTTTCCTTCCTTCCGTCCTCCTCGCCCCTTCCTCCACTTACTCGTTTATTCACTTACTCACTTATATTGTTAGAGCCTATCATCTAGAGACTGCGTACTTAAACTCTTAGCAATCTCCAAAGACTTAGTCATTCACTCACTCGCTCACTCACTCATTTACTTACGTACTGCACACTTACACTAGTCTTTAGAGACTTAATTATTCACTTATTTAGTCACTTACTCGCTGACGCACACTCCCAGAGCCAATTACTCACTTACTCAGTCACTCACTCACTCACTCACACTCCCAGAGCCTGTCATCCAGAGACTGCAGAAGGGGCTGCGGCGCGCGTTGTTGCCGCTGGGCCCCCCTTTCTCTCTGCAGTGGCAGGCGCAGTACCCAGAGCCTGCAGAAGGGGCTGCGGCGCGCGTTGTCGCCGCTGGGCCCCCCTCGCTCTCTGCAGTGGCAGGCGCAGTACCCAGAGCCTCCAGAAGGGGCTGCGGCGCGCGTTGTCGCCGCTGGGCCCCCTGCGGTTCTGTGCGTTACTGCCATTGTAATTTGTAAAGCAATGGTTGTGACAGGCTGCGAATCGCATTATAATGGCTGCGGTCAGGATGCGCGCACACTGTGTCTGTGCACTACTGCCATTGTGATTTCCATAGTATTGGTTCTTGCCGGTTCGGAGTCGCATTGTAAATGCTGCGAGAAGGATATTTGCGAAGTGTGTCTCTGCACTGGTGCCATTGTGATTTGCAGGACCAGTGTTTGCGCGGCATGCGAATCGCCTTGTAAATGCTGCATAGAAGTTGTTTGTGAAGCCTGTCTCTGCGCTGCTGCAATTGTGATTTGCAAAGAAAGGGGTCTCACTGCGTGCGAATCGCATTGTAATGGCTGTGGCAAAGATGCTTGCAAACTGTCTCTGCGCGGTACTGCCATTGTGTATGAGAACGGAGAGAAGGCATTCGCAGCCGATTGTATATTTGCCTTTTCTAGTCGGATTTTCGCGGAGACCAATGCTACAATGCTGCTACCAGGTCTGGGCCTTAACCCTTTTGGTTGATGGTGGAGTTCTATTTGCGCGCTGAACTTCGAGCTGGTTTTGGTTTGTAGAGAGATCGTCAAAAAAGGCGACGTGACGAACTTTGTTGAACTTCCGAATCTATACATATACGTCTAGAGCAGATGTGCTTTGGTCTGTCAAGAGATCATCACAAAGAAGAATGTTGTTGAGGTCTGTATGCTGAGAAGTGCCGACAAGTCACTGCGGCATGTTTTGATAGCATGAGTGACTCACGTGGCAATGACTGACTCAAGATAGCAAAACTGATTGTGTTTTGGAGACGGCAAGACTCACTCCAAGTGCAGTGACAGAGCGAGAGTGACCGTCTGACTGTGTGACTGTAGACGGCTTACAGCGACGCAACGAACTGTTGTCAAGCACGTCCAACAATTTTTTGTCAGTTTGGCTTTCTTTGATCTCAGATTTTATATATTGTGGATATTGCATGCTAACTAGCGACGCAACCTCAGCTACTGCCATTGGCATTTTGTTGTGTGGTTTCGGAGGTAAGTCGATGCGACGAACCGTCGGAACACGTACATTCAATTTTAGTTAGATTCTGTATAGCAGACATCCCAGACATAACAGATATCTAACACAGTGCATTACATACAGCAAATACAGCAGACATCATTGAAAATCTAATATAATCTAACAAACATCTTTTCAGGATACAGTGCGGGATATCTACATCCAATAAATATATGTATATATATATATATGCAACATTTTTTTCCACCCGCACCTCGCCCAGCCATGGGTGTGGAAATTCGTG